AGGTAAAGTGATAGGAGAGAGCCTGGCTGTTTATAGAAGTCTAAAGTGGGTTAGGCTAGAGCTCTGGTAAAGGACTGAGTCTCCACAGAAATAGACGTGGCCAGTTTGAAAGACTATAAAGGAAAACTATAAAACAACCAGTACTTCTCTGGGTTGAAGTCTCCCCCAAAATCAATGTAACAATCAAATTTAACATTATTTTCACTCATTTGGAAAGAAGTCTTACATTAAGAACTCTCTGTAGTTTATGATCATCCAAAAGCAGTCCAAAAAGTAAAAATCAATAAAGAAAGAACTCAAATGACTTACCAAGAGGTAGAAGGTGATAAGTGATGTGGAGCAAGGGGAAGTACTGGGGATCAAACCCAGGGACTTACACATGCTAGACAAGTGCTCTACCACTGAGTTACACATATAATCCATTTAATTGGATGTTTAGACAAGTATCTGTCACTGAGTTATACCAGGGTCATCTTGAATTTACAATCCTCCTGCCTCAGGCTCCTGGTTTTTTGTTTGTTTTTTTGGTGATGGTAGGGGTACCTGGGGATTGAACCTAGGGGTACTTTACCACTGAGCTACATCTCCAGTCTTTTTTATTTATTTATGATTTTGGTACCCGAGATTGAACCCAGTGGTGCTTAACCACTAAACCACATTCCCAGCCCTTTTTTAAATTTTGAGACAGGGTTTCACTAAGTTGCTTAGGGTCTCACTAAATTGCTGTAGCTGGCCTTGAACTTTTGTTCCTCCCACCTCAGCCTCCCAAATTGCTGGGATTACAGGCATGTGCCACCATATCAGGCTCTTATTTTTTGAGACAGGATCTTACTAAGTTGCTTAGTGCCTTATTAAGTTGCCAGGCAGACCTCAAACTTGAGACCCTTCTGTCTCAGCCTCCTGAATCACTGGGATTACAGGCATGGGCCATCATGGCAAGCCCAGCAAGAAGAGTTTCTTTTTTTTTGGTGGGGGCAGAGCAGGGGGGGCGGGGGGGACCAGGGATTGAACTCAGGGACACTCAACCCCTGAGCCACATCCCAGCCCTATTTTGTATTTTACTTAGAGACAGGGTCTCATTAAGTTAGTTAGCACCTAGCTGTTGCTGGGGCTGGCTCTGAATTTGCAATTCTCCTGTCTCAGCCTCTAAGCCACTGGGATTATAGACGTGCACCACCACACCCAGCAAGTAGAATGGTTTCTGATATGGGGAATGCTATGTAATATACATGGAAGGAATAAATACTCTGAATTTATTTTTAGGTCAATAGACTCTCAGAACTCAATACAAAAAAAGCAAGACAAACTGGGAGTCTATGTTTTTTTTTTTTTGTTTTTTTTTTTGACACAGTGTCTCACAATATTGCTCAGTCTGGCCTTGAATTTCTAAACTCAAGAAATCCTCCCACTTCAGTTTCCCCAGTAGCATAGAGTGTTTCTGAAGGCCATTTCCCAACTAAACAACTTCAGGCTAAACCAAACAACAACAACCAGAAAAAAAAACAAAACAAACAAAAAAAACATGGAGCCTTGAAGACAGGATCAGAAATGAAGCAGAGAATAATATATCCTGTCCTTTAACAAAACATAGCCTATCTTAACCAAAGTACTGTGTACAGTTCCAAATGCTGTAGTTCAGAAGCAGTAGGGTACAATGATAAAGATCACAGATTGAGGTTTAAATCCAAGCTTGTACCACTTACTATGTCTGAACTTCATTTGTAAATGGGAATAGGAATTCCTCATCTGTGTTGCTTTGCAGTTGAACAAAAAATACATGAGAGTAATTTTTAGCTTAGTAACTGATAGTGTTAAAAAAAAAAAAAAAAAGGAGGGGGGCTGGGATGTAGCTTAGTTGGTGGTATGCTTGCCTTGCATGCACAAGTCCCTGGGTTCAATCCCCAGCACCACCAAAAAAAAATAAAAAATAAAAATAAAAGAACTTATCATTACTACTATAAAGCTAAAAGTAATCTCCCAGAAAATATTAAAATATTAAGAGACATTTGCAAACTTTAATGTATATTACAGTCACCTGAGGAGCCTACAGATGCATTTCTCCAGGGCTTAATTTCATTGGTTTGAAATATGATGAGTGTTCTCTTGCCCAGATATCAAGAGTTATTGAAGGCTTGGGATGTAGGTCAGTGGTAGAGTGCTTGCCTGGCATGCCTGAGACACTAGGTTCAATCCTCAGAACTGCATTAAAGAATTATTGAAGAGGGGCTGGGGCTCAGCGGTAGCACACTTGCATGACATGTGTGAGGCACTGGGTTGGTTTCTCAGCACTGCATATAAAAAAATAAAATAAAGGTCTATCAACAACTAAAAAATAAATTTAAAAACTATTGAAGAGAATTCAGGCACTATCCCATAAAAACAGGCTAAAATTAGATTCTTTCATAGAAAGGACTGGCCTAAAGCAAGAATAAAAGAACAGACAAGGCCCTCATTCTCAAAGAACTAATCTCCAATGGAGACAGACAATTTTAAAGGGGGGAATTCAGGATAGTGAAGTGTTGTTATAAATAACAGAAAGGAAAGACAGGGTCATCTCCTTGAATAGCCAACATCTGAACTGCCACCTGAATGGCACCACAGAATCAACAAAAGCAAGATCTCAAAGAATTATGAAACCCACTTGCAAAGGCCCTGAAGCAAGATCTAGCTTGGCAAGTACCAAAAACAGCAATGCTGAAGAGAACAGAAACTAAAAGACACATAGGTGACTAGACTCCAAAGCACTGAACTAGGCAGAGGGTTACAAAGTAAGAAAGAAAGGCAATGTCAAAATATGTAGTACCTGGCAAGTTTTATATGGAGTTTGCTTTTTATTCTGAATTGGAATAGGACACTTTCCACAAGAAGGTGATACAATGAGTTTCAAGGATCTCTTAGGCTATGATAACAGGAATATATAAGCCCAAATGAAAGGAGGGAGACCATAAGGTTATTCAAGAGGATCAGGTGAGAGATGGTGACAGTGTGGCAAAGTGGTGGCAGCAGAGATGGGAAGAAGTGAATACATATTGAATGCTATAATTTAAGGCAAATCAAGGTGAAAGAATTAAGTCACATAACAAGTAGTAAGCACCTGGAACTAATTATTCAAGGAATAAAAATGAGGGCTAGGGATGTGAATCAATGGTAGAGCCCTTGCCTAGTATTCATGAAGCCCTGGGCACACTCCCCAATACTACAAAGAAAAAAGAGAAAGAATGAAAATAGACATTTACAGGTTTTAGCTAAGTTTATGAGAAATCCATCCCAAGGAGGTTATTAGCAGATTTAGGACACTTCATGGTATTTATCCTTTGAAGCTGAGGTGAAGAGAACATTACCTTCCAGAGTAGGTTATTTTGGTGCCAATGTTGAAAACTAGACTAAATGGGCACAACCCTCAGATCCAATGTCAATAAACACATTAAGCATGTTGTGTAAAGTAAAATCTTCCAGGACATTCCTACTAAGGTCCTGAACAGTTGATTAGAATTTGGAATACAGTATAACTGAACTTAACCTCAATGAAACCATTAAATAAACATTTTAAACTTCCATACTGTCAACTCAGGCCTGTGCCTGATTTCCCAAGAGTTAAGCTAAGCCTTACTTTGTCACACATAATGAAGATTAATTTCTTAAATCTTAAATGGCATCATAGAGATTTGGGAGGTAAACTTTTCTTTTTTTTTTTTTTTTTCGGGGAAGGGGGGGTGGTGAGACAAATTTTTAAAACCACTTTAATAATTAGTTTTTCCAACACAGAAAATATTCCCTGAAAGTTAAGGTCCAAAGTTTAAATCTGCAAAAAAATTTATTACTCAAAAAAAGTACACGTATGTGAAAAAGCAAGTTGCAGAAAAGCATATTTGGTATGATACCATACTTTTCTGGTGACGTATTGATTATTCTTTTTTGGTACCAGAAATCAAACCCAGGGGCACCTAACTAACCACTGACCCACATCCCCAACCCTTTTTGAAATAGGGCCCCACTACTCCCTAAATTGCTGAGGTTGGCCTCAAACTTGTGATCCTCAGCCTCCCGTCACTGGGGTTACAGGCATGCAACACCACACCTCGCTGATTATTTCTTTTTGCTTATCTGCTTTTATCAATAGTGTCTCCAAGTATAACAAAGCATTTTGTTTAAGCAAAAATATTCAGTCCTAGGTTAGCATACAAGGTCAAAAGCTAAAAAAAAGAGAAAACAGTTTTCTTCATTCAACATCTGCATGATTCTAAATCACAGGATGAAAGGTTCAAAGAAGTTCATGTTCCACCACAAGGACATACTCTTCAAGGAAGAAACAAACTCCTAAGAGAACTCATCCTGGATTTGATAGGGGGCAATTGATTACGGTTTTGTTGGTCTTTCTTGCTGTTTACCACAGAAACAACTCCACTAGTGAGTTATCTGAGAGGATTATGTTCATTTTTCGGAATCGCGTTAGGACGCGAAGGTGGTTTGGTTTTCTGATGTCTTTATCACGAAGGGAAGCAGGCTGGGAGCAAGCTACACTAAAGGAATCTGCGTAAGCAGTCACCTGAAGTGGGAACACAAGCATTCTGTTATCTTCCCTGGATAGTGAGAACGCCTCCTTAAGGGTCTCAAGACTAAAATACCTGGAAGGTTTTCTGCTTTCCAAGTTGCTGTATGTAACAGTTTGACAAAACAACACAAAAATTGGAAGGTCCTTTCCACAAATGTAGATATTACATGAGTGGAGTTCATCCCACTCGTATGATGCAGAACGAAAAAAAAATTCTATTAGTAAAGCCACATCCTTGATTTTGCTAACGGGGGCAAGTGAAAATAGCTTACCGATTCTATGGCTAACAAATGCCATCTTGGCTAAAATCCTAACATGTTAAACAGCCACTCACTCTGGCGAACTTTGGCTTTAAACAGCAACACGGGACTTATCGCACAGTATTCGTTCCAATACCGGGCGCTACCTCTTTACCGTCTGCCCTGGTCCCACTTATTAAACGAATAAAATGGGAATCCTTAAAATTCGCAACCGAACAGGGGTCAAAAAGCTCTCGCTTCCAGGATGGCAGATTTCCTGTATCCTCAGTCACAACAAAGGACGCATCCTAGTGACTTCATCATATCCAGAAAGGGCTGAAGACGGGTAAACGAAATAGTGTGGATTTCAGGGTGGCTGAGTTTTTCCCTTCCAGCTACGACTCTCTACTTTTTACTCCATTATATGCCTCCACCCGTGTTGACTGTCTGGCCCTAAAAATAAAACCACCCGTGGCTCCCGTTCACTTTCTCGCCCAGCCCCGACTCGGGCTTCCTGCAGAGAAAGCCGAACAGCAAGCGGTCTGCCTGGTTGCTCTCCGGGGCACGCACGCTCGGCAGTAGCGGGCTTCTCCGGTGCTGAACCGCCAGTCTGGCGGCCGGGAAAGCACCGACCCAGAAACAGCCCCTCTGTGCCGCAGCCACCGCAGTCCCCAAGAGCTTGAGGAGTCCCCAGGAAAAACCGGGGTGAGGGGAAGGTGGGCCGGCAAAGGGCGGTGGGAGAGGGGAGACACTCACCCGCCCAGACAACAACCGACGGGGCGGGGAGGGTGGGGGCCGGGACCTAGTCTCGGCAGAAAGACCGCCTGGGGCTTCCGGAACGTTGCGGCTGCTCCGGACGCCGCTGCCGCTGGTGCTCCTGGCTGCCGGCGTCCTCCCCCGCCTCTGTTTGGATTCGATTGACCACGTCACTCTTAGCCACGAGACCCGGATCTGCCGGCTCCCGCGGACGACGGCGCAACAGATTGCAGCGCCTCGAGACCCCAGAGGCCCCGCCCGCCGAGCATGCGCCCGCCCAGTGCCTGTCCAGGGCGTCGGTGGGAGGCTGCGAGGGCTCGAGCGGCTTCGGGCTCTCACGTCACGCCATGCGTGGGGGCGCGAAGCGCGGGGATGTGGTTCCGGTCGGGAAGGGTGGGGCAGAGGACTATGAAGGAAGCAGGGTGAGGACACACGTTTGTTGATTTATCTCGCGGAGCCCGTTTTCTTTGGTAGACTTTGTCTTCTCGCAAGGCTCTCTTTGCTGAGCTAGAGTCCCTCCGTGACCATAGTCTTTAGAATACCGAGGTAGAGGTAGAAGTAAGCACAATTTGATCTCAGCTGAAACCCGGTACAGCTGTAGAGAGGGTGGTGTATTGGTAACAAGCCCAGGTGAAAATTGGAGCTTGAGGATTAAAGAAGTATGTGACTCCCTTTACCCTCTAGAACACTTTTGTACCACAAAACCAACGGGAATATTAAAAGGACTAGGTGACCAAAGATGAGCTGCTCGTTAGGAGGTGGAGGGGAACGCTTTTGTTAGGCAACCAACCCAAGCTTTTGTTGCTTTGGTTTTAAGGAAATGGAATAAGGATGCTGTTTGTGGATTAAGAAATTCTTTTCTTTTCTTTTTTTTTAAAGCTAGGAGCTGTGGAGCATGCCGGTCATCCCAGGTACTTGGTGAGACTGAGGAGGGAGGATTGCAAATTCGAGACCAGCCTGGGCAACTTCGGAAGACCCTGTCTCTAAAAGGGAAGGGCGGGACTTGGTGGCGCTCGCCTGTAATCCCTGCAACTCCGGAGGCTGAAGCAGGAGGATCCCGAGTTCAATACCAACCTCAACAGATTAGCGAGGCACTTAGCAACTCAGTGAGACCCTGCCTCTAAATAAAATTTTAAAAGGGGGGGAAGGGGGCGGTTGGGGATGTAGCTCAGTGGTAAAGCATCCCTAGGTTCATTCCGCAGTCTCTCAAAAAAAAACTAAATTTTATTTTGTAGACTTAATTGGTGCTTCCTACTTTCCCATTCTAGCCTCAGTTTAATCGCTAAAAGAGGAAAGTTGGCAAAATTTAGGACTATGCTTTTGTTTTCTTAGGTCCGTGAATTGATGAACTTTGATTAACTGTAACCAGTACCGGGCCTGGTGGTGCGTGTCTGTCTGTAGTCCCAGCTACTTGGGAGGCTAAGGCACGAAAATCGCTTGAGCCTGGGAGTTTGAGGCCGTTTGGGCAACAAGTGTGAGTCCCAAAGATTTTACAGAAGTACCTCTTGCCCTATCCTATAGGAGAGGTGAAAGCTATAGTTGTCTTTCTTGTTCTGACTTGGTAATCTTTTCACCTACCCAGCTTCTCTCTCAATTTGGTTAATTACTCCTCTACAAGCTGAATCACCTTAAGCAAATTACTATAATCTGCAAGAATTTTTTTGTTTTATTTTGTAATAAAGTAGATATTGAACACCGGTAAAGGTTCCTAGAAAACTAAAGATTTCTGGTAAAACTCCAAGTGTTTCCTTAGTTAATTGTTATTAGGAGTTGGTACAAAATAAACTTCTTACCGGGTGCTGTGGCTGAGGCCTGTGGTTTGGGAGGCTGAGGCAGGAGGATCCAGAGGTCAAAGCCAGCCTCAGCAATGGCTAGGCCCTTAGCAACTCAGTGAGACCCTGTCTATAAGAAAGAAGTAGTAGTACAAAAAAAGCGCTTAGGATGTATGTCAGTGGTTAAGTGCCCCTGAGTTCAACCCCCTGTACCCAAAAAAAGCCCTTCTTGGCCCTTAAATGCAATCCTGACCTCTACTTATTCAAATTCAGACATTTTTGAAGTGGAATCTATTGCCTTTATGAAGTTCATGAGCTGACACTGTAGCAGAAGGTCTCTAATTTGTGGAACTCTGTAAACAGAAAGTTTTGTGTGCTTGGGTGCATCCATGTGCACATGTGATTGAAAACACAGCTGTTTTTAAGAGTGTTGAACAAAATTAAAATGTACTAGAATTTTGTGCTGCACAGAATTCTTTATAAAGTACTCTGCAAGAAAATCAAAAGGGTGGGATTCTGTGACTGGCCACCAGTGATTCTTAGCTCTCAGGATTGAGTCTTCTCTAGTCATTTGTGTCAAGGTTACTTTAACCAAGAGAGTACAACAGGAAGATAATATGGCTTCTGAAGCTGTCATAAAGGCACTGATAACAGCTTTCTATCTCATTCTCTTGGATAGCTTGCTCTGGGGGAAGCCAGTCATCTTGCCATTCTATTCAAACAGCCCACAAAAACTCTACTTTGGAGAGGAACAAAAGTTTTTAGCAAAATAGGGCACCCACTTGCCAGGCATGTGAGTGTACTCTCTTCACAGATCCTGCAACCTTAATTATGCATTTGGATGATTCCATCCCTGTTCAACGTTTTACCACAATCTCATGAAAGCTAGAAAGGGCAACCTCTGACCCACAGACTCTGTGCTATAGCATCTTGTGTGGGGTTTTGCTTTGATCTTTAAGTTCAATCTTTATAAACTTTAAACAATGGATGAACTAAAGATTCAATATGTAAAGCAACTTAATGATAATTCCTACCACAGTACCTGAAGCATAAAGATAGAATAAATATTTGTTGAATGGGCTTAGAGAATTAAAAGAAACATCAATTATAAATGGAACAAATCAGTATTTACTGATAAAGAAGTAATATACTATATGAAGGGCTCATAACAAATCAATAAGGTTGATATTAACACCTCCAAACATGTAGATATAAAATATGAATTGTTAATACACAAAAAGGAAATACAAATGAGTAATATTTGAAAATTTCCAATATCAGTAATTTAAAAATGTAAATTAAAGCAAGGTTTCTTTTTTTGACTACCATATTAAGGAAATATTTTTAAAAAGGGGTATCTCATGTTAGTCTCTGTTAGCATTACTGATAGAAATGTAAATTGGCACATATCTTTTGGGAAACCAATTTTTGGCAATATTTCAAGTTCCATAAAAATACATTCATTGATCCAATTTCACTATTAGGAATTTATCCTAATGAAATAATCTTAAATGAGAGTAATATAGCATAAAGATACTAATTTTCATTTATATAATTGGAGAAATACAGAAATAAATGACATGTAAAATGATAATGGGAAGGATAAATGTTACATTGTGTCTTAGGATCTAAAAATCTTGGTGATATATAGTCATAGTTTGGAGAACATATTCCCCAAAACATTTATGAATACATAAAGCATGCATGTTGACAAACTTTTCTTCTTCTAAAGCAAAAATTGACATTACATTGGTCATTCTTGAAGGGAGTAAAAGAGTTCCTTATGACTTTTTTTTTTTTTTTTGGTGTTGGGGATTGAACCCAGGGACATTAACCACTGAGCCACATCCCCAGCTCATTTTTATTTTTTATTTTGAGACAGGGTCTTGCTAAGTTGCTGAGGCTGGCTTTGAACTTGTAAATCCTCCTACTTCAGTTTTCTGAGCTGCTTGGCTTACAGGCAAGCACCACTGTATCCTATGACTTTTTTAAAAATATTTTTTAGTTGTTGATGGACCTTTATTTATATGCAGTGCTGAGATCAAACCCAGTGCCTCACATATGCTGGGCAAGTGCTCTACCACTAAGTTATGATCCCAGCCCTCCTGTGACTTTTTGACCTTTTATATGGTTTGAATTTTTTCACATCCATATGTTTTTTTTTTTTTTAGAATAAAAAAGTCGTTATTTATTTATTGTACTGGGATTGAACTCAGTACCTCATGCATGCTAGGCAAGTGTTCTGCCAATAAGCAGAACACTCCCACCTTTTTTTTTTTTTTAATTTTGTTTTGAGATAGGGTCTGGCTAAATTGCCCAGGCTGGTCTTGAACTCACAAACATCATAAATAACTGGAATTACAGGCATGTACCACCACACCTGTGTTTTTGGTTGGTTGGTTGGTTGGGGTTTTGGGGGGGGGGGCAGGGGTTTGGTTGGTGTCTTTGTTTTTTATTTTTTTTATTTAAAAAAAAATGGTTGTATTAGTCTGCTCAGATTTCCATAGAAGAATATCACAAGGGGCTGGGGGTGTAGTTCAGTGGTAGAGCACTTGTCTAGCATGTGTGAGGCCCTGGGTTCGATCCTCAGCAACACATTAAAAAAAAACTAAATAAACAAACATTGTGTCCATCGACAACTAAGAATATTAAAAAAAAAAAAACATATATCACAGGGTTGGGGTTGTGGCTCAGTGGTAGATGCTCACCTAGCATGTGCAAGGCCCTGGGTTTGATCTTCAGCACTACATAAAAATAAAGAAATAAAATAAAGGTATTGTGTCCAACTACAACTAAAAAATAAATATTTAAAAAAAATGTATCTCAGAGCTGGGCACAGTGGTGCACACCTGTCAGCAGAAGGATTGGGAGTTCAAAGCCAGCACCAACAAATGGGAGGCACTAAGCAACTCAATGAGACCCTGTCTCTAAATAAAATACAAAGTAGGGCTGGGGATGTGGCTCAAGTGGTAGCGCGCTCGCCTGGTATGCGTGCGGCCTGGGTTCAATCTCAACACCACATACAAACAAAGATGTTGTGTCCGCTGAAATATTAAAAAAATTCTCTCTCTCTCCCTGCCCCTCTCCCTCCCTCCCCCCCCCCTCTCTTTAAAAAAGAAAAGAAAAATCACAGTATAGCAGGGGCCTAGATAACTGCACCCACCACCACACATACACAAGCCCATATAGATGCAGTGCATATTCATAGCAGCTACATAACAATTTTCAGTTCAAGCAATCAAAAGAGACTTCTGGAGTTTCTTGATCACAACTCCAATTTAGGAGAGAGAAGCCAGAGAGCCCATCTTGGTCCACTCCAGGTCCAACTGACTACAGCTAGAGGGGAATATGTTTGAGCAAACTTGGAGAAGGAAGGACTAGCAAGCTCATTTGAAGCAGTGGAAGGGTGAAAAGAAAAAGAGAGGTATCTAGCACAGTTATCTGCAATCATGGTTTTTTTTTGTTTTATATCTTTTGGGGTGTTGGGGATTGAACTCAGAACCTGTGCACGTTCATCAAGTGCTGTGCCGCTGAGCTATATCCCCATCCCTGTAACTAATATTTTGACGATAACATCAAAATTTTGAACCAGACCCATTGTAAAAAGAAGGCATGTTTCATTTCTTACTCTAATCTTCCATTTAAAAAAATTTTTTTTTAGTTGTATATGGGCACAATACCTTTATTTTATTTATTTATTATGTGGTGCTGAGGATTGAACCCAGTGCTTCACACATGCTAGGCAAGCGCTCTACCACTGAGCTACAATTCCAGCCCCGCAATCTTCCATTTTAAGGACAAAGAGAGATGGGATGGGGTTGTGACTCAGCAGTAGAGTGCTTGCCTAGCATGTGTGAGGCCCTGGGTTCAATCCTCAGCACCACATAAAAGTAAATAAATATATTGTGTCAAACTACAACTAACAAAATAAATATTAAAAAATAAGGACAAAGAGAGAAAGGTTCATTTGGATTAAGTGTAGTTTTACTTAATGATTATGTATGTATACACCCATGTAATTACTATCTGTAACAATAAATAAAACATTTCCAAAGGACACTTTTATTCCCCTTAAATAATTGGAAAAATACCTTTTGGCTGGGAATGTAGTTCATCTGTACAGCCCTTGCCATGTGCCCATGTGCTGGATCCCCAGGACCACAACACACACACACACACACACACACACACACACAAGAACACTAGCTTCTCTATAATTTCCCTATAATATCAAAGCCTTGTAGATAGTAAGGAACCAAGGTAGATTCCTGCTTGTCCTCATGGATTTCCATTTGTTCTTGTTCTCCATTCATGTCTTTTCTTCCCAGCTGTCTGCCACACTAACATCAGGCCCCGCACCAGATATTGAAACAAAACCATACATAAACTATTTAACTAGTTCCAATAATTGTGTAATGTCAAATTTCTATAATAAAACTTATTCATAGTGCTACTGTTTCTTTGATCAAATCCTAACTATAGCATTACAAATTTTATAATCCTTTAAAACTCTTCCTACCAATAAATGTTCAAGGATATTATTAATGGAGAATCAATGCAGTATTCATCCCTAGTTCAAAACTGTTTGGAAGTTATTTCATCTAGTCATCTGTTAGTGTGTTCTTGTTTTTTGCAATATTCAGCTCAAGATTATTATTTAGATTTTCCCTATGTTCAGTTTGGGTATATGAGATGAACACAAGACTGGATGAAATAACCTGGCTGAAACTTTCAGGTCTATTGAATATAGTAATTCAATGTATAATACTGGTTAGACTTGCTAATGAGCACTTTAAAGTGATAGAATTGATTTAAGTGATACAAATTTTAAGTGATACAAATTGAAATACAGTTAAGGGACTGGGGTTTTGGCTCAGCAGTAGAGCACTCACCTAGCACATCTGAGGCCTTGGGTTCGATCTTCAGCACCACATTAAAATAAAGGTATTGTGTCCAATTACAACTAAAAAATAAATATTAAAAAAAATACAGTTAAGGGCTGGGGTTGTGGCTCAGTGGTAGATTGCTTGCCTAGCATGCGAGAGGTACTGGATTCGGTCCCTGGAACCACATTAAAAAAATAATAAAGGTATTATGTCCATCTACAACTAAAAAAAAAAAAGTTAAAATTTAGAATTTATGATCACACAGGGCAGAGGATGGTGCTGGGGATCAAACCAGGTTTTTGCACATGCTAAGAAAATACTTAACTCTTCCACTGAGATAACCCCTCACCCGCTAGAATGTATTTTTTTTTTTAAACTGTATGCTATGTAGGAGTCTCCCTTACTTGAATGTATTATTGGTATACATATAATGTTAGAATGGAAATCTTTCCCCATCAAGTAAATTTGTGTGTGTGTGTGTGTGAGAGAGAGAGAGAGAGAAAGAGACACTAGAGATTGAACCCAGGGGCTCTTCTACTGAACTACATCCCCCGCCCTTTTCAAATAATTT